TGGGGGTGGGGGTGGGGAGGGGGTAAATATAAGATGTGATCTAGCTATCGTATTTATTTTTTTCCCAATTTTTAAAAAAGCCGAATTACACATTTTCAAATTTTAAAAGTTTTTAACCATATTTTTTCCTACTCCACTCAAGTTTACGGATGGAATAAAATTAATGACAATTGGGACATAGACAGTCAAGGGGCATTGCTTCATCGAATAAGAGGATTTTTTTTTCATTATCTATAGTATAATTTCATTTCAGAGTTGCATAAAGAGGATCCAGGTTTTCTTGAACAAGTGTATAAGAATACAATACTAAGGATCAGATGGACAGACAGTGTTACCAACGAGGAAGTGTTAAGGAAAACAAGACAGATCCAAGTCAAAGATGAGTTAGGAAGAAGGCGGTGGCGATTAGGGCTGGGCAATGAGTCGCTTTAGCAAAATCCGGATAATATGTTAGTGCACCTCTTCGGCAAATAATATATCGTGAACCGCTAAGGCAAATGGCTTAGAACCATTTCGAGAAACGAGTTAGCATTACTTCAACAAATGGGTGCACCCACTTTGGCAAATGGGCCAGGAAAGAGAGTTAAGAGTCTGCATTCGGATGACGTTTCATAGAGAATTATCCGGTTATCCTTGTATATTATCCCGATTTTGCCCACCTCTAGTGGCGATGGATTGGACATACTCTCGGGAAGTCAGGGAGCAGCATAACATAGAAAGTGTTGGATTGGAATCCAAGCGGTAAAAGAGCAAGAGGAAGACCGCGTGGAACCTGAAAAAGAATCACAGAAATTGATGCACCGAAAAGTGGGAAGACATGGAATAACATCAAGAGGCTATCCCAAGATAGAGTAAGGTGGAAAGTGTTTGTCCTTGGCCTATACCCTGGTGCAGGGTGAGAAAGGCAATGATGATGATGATGATTGTAGAATTCATTGTAGTAATTCGTGTAAATTTGAAAAAAAAAAACATTTTTTAAAAATGTCCAGCTTTGACATACTGTAGCTCATAAATTCAACAAGATACCCCCCCCCCCCAAAAAAAAACCCAACGTACAAAAGCAAACAAACAAACAAAAATAGTTCCTATACGATGACTATTGACTATAGCATAACAACCCTCTTCCCGGCGTGTTTCTGAAGAGCGAGCAAATTCCTTTAACTAATTTCGGAGGAATTGCATTTTGTTTAAGTGGCGTAATATTCCATACGGCGACCATTAAAATGAAAATCACAACAGATAGAATTTCAGTCTTGTTTAGTTTTAGTAGAGGGTTTTACGGCGCTCGCAACTGCATAAGGTCATATGAGCGCCAGAAGATTAGAGGTGTTACAAGAGAGTAACAAACATAAAAAAGAAAAAGGGGAAAGGACGATAGATGTTTGATAGGAAAGGAGAAGCAAACCACATCAGAGCACCCGCCAACCACCCACCTTCAGTCTTGAGTGGCCATCATTATCAAAGCATGTTTTACATAGTTAATCCCTTCTAAAGAATCAAATCTTTCTCCCGAAGATCTCAAGAATTATCGCCATATCTCCAACCTTCCATTTTTATTTTAAAAGACATTGCAGAAAGTTGTTTAGATTCAATTGAAGGATCATTTAAAAGAAAACATTGTATATGATATTACTGTTATTACATCAATCTGTTCTCTTCACAAGTTACAGCGTTTTCAGAATCTTGCTGCTGGGCTTGTATTTAGAAAAAAGAAAAGGGAACACATTATTCCCAAGTTTAAAAAAATTGCATTGGCTCCCTGTATCAGCGAGAATATTGTATAACGTTGTAATATTATACCACAAGTGTGTCAATAACAAAGTTCCCTCTTATCTTAGGGATCTAACCAAGATTTATGCTACGTCTAGATCGCTGAGATCAGGTGATCAGTATCTTATTTTATGAGTTCCCAGGAGAGAGGGTAAAAGATTAACTGAAAGATCCTTCATCCATCTTGCTCAGTCAGTTTGGAAATCCATTCCGCAACCCCTGAGATACATAAAAATTGAAGCCTAAATTGAAGACACATTTAAAGACACGTTTAATGAATTCATTTCTAACCTAGTAGTTTCATTTCCTGTACCAAATGAGGTAAATATAAGTTGGATTATCTATTCTATGTATTTTTTAAACCCACGGATCTCATTGTACAATAAGTATGTTTTTGTAGGCATATACGGCTCATTCATACGATGTTCGTGCGTGTGTGATAAGAGAGAAGGTGTGTGTGTGTGTGTGTGTGTGTGTGTGTGTGTGTGTGTGTGTGTGTGTGTGTGTGTGTGTGTGTATGTGTGTGTGTGTGGTGCGTGTAAGAGTGTGTGCATGCGTGAGTAAGGGTGCGTGAGTGTGAGCGTATGTGATTTTTTCACATAATGTGATGTTATTGTTTTGCACTTTGAAAGCGCCTAGAGCTGTGTGCACACGAAAGTAGCCGCTATAAAAATGTACTTCATTATTATTATTATTAATATGATTATGATTATGATTATTATTAGAGATGTGATGATGATGATGATGATGATGATGATGATGATGATGATGATG